TCTTTCTCTCAATATATTGTTAAGAAACTTAATTATTTTTCTGCAACAGGTATCTCTATGATATATTGGCCAATGCAAGTGTGGTCAAAAAGAACATTCCAGTTCTTATCTGCTGTAACAAAACTGACAAAGTGACAGCACATACGAAGGAGTTCATCAGGAAACAAATGGAGAAAGAAATGTATGGCCTCAAGTTCTTGTAATTTATTGCCTGTTCATTAACTATGCCCACATGCCCACTTGGTTTTATGATAACCATTTTTATTTTATTTGCCGATGTCTTAAATGTGTTGACATGCTTTTAGCTTGTGTAGCATTAATCTTCATTGCCATGCAATATGTGAACTACCTTCATTTTATGTGAAGCCTCAAGTCATTTACATGTGTCTATTTGATTGAATTGTCTGGTTATTATCATTTTACAGAGACAAACTACGGGCATCAAGAAGTGCAGTATCTGAAGCTGACATAGCAAACGACTTCACTATAGGCGTACCTGGAGAAGCCTTTGCTCTCTCTCAATGCAACAACAAGGTCACCATTGCTGAAACTTCCGGTTTGACAGGTGAGGTTGCTCAGGTTGAACAATTCATCAGAGAACATGTGAAACCCTAGTCCATTACAATGTTGCATTTTTAATGTCCATGTTGAAAACTGCTTCGCTGATTTCCTCCTGGAAGTTCGTTGGACCATTTGAAACTGTGAAAAAACGTCAAGTTTGCTTGAGTCAAAGAGGAGAAAATTTTGTTCTCTCAGAGGTAGAAAATCTATTTCAGTTTCTTTGCGTATTTGCCATGTACCGGCAATTTCTTAACAAATTCAATCATATACCTTTATAAAAACCATTTTTCTTCAGCTGTGTCCTTCAAGAGCAATTGGCAAACCACAACAAACCACTTTTCTCAGCCCAAACTTCTGTAAGACCCTCTGAACGACCTTGAAAACCATAGGTTCTTCAATCTAATTATCAAAGCAAATATGCCATAACACGGGATATGCATCAATGCTACCCCTAAGTACCTGCAATCCCACAATAGCCGGAGTCACTAGCAGTAGAAATGTAGAATATGTAATTTAATGAGTTTATTTAACCTAATAATCGACATTAATTTAATATGAGGAAAATCTCAAGAGCCCTAAGTTATAGTCATTCCATAAGAAATGATCATGCTT